GCTGTTTAAACGGTAAAATGAATAGCTTGCACACAAAACATTTTAATATCTCAGGATAAATTTGTATGCCGTTTGTTTTTATGTCTGAGAAAGAATAGAGTTGTAATTGAGGATTTCCAGTAGTCTCATGGCCTGGAACGAATGTGTGTAAAATACAGACAAACCTGTATGTGAACATGTGGTATCCTATTTAGGGAAAGGAGTCAGTCTAGCAGGATCCAGGGAAAGCAAAAGAGCAGATAAGTTGTAAGTCTGCCTCTCTTCATGATCCAGGACACATAGCCCTTTTGTGAAAATGGCTCACAGTCTTCCTGTGCTCAGCTGTCAGCAGCCCCTGGCAGGTTCACCCACTGCCACCTTGGCGCCGGCAGGACTGCACAAAGTCCCCCTCAGCACTCAGCATAAACATGATCCTGTGACGTCCCCAGCAAGCCTCGTTTCTTCTTCGCAGTCAGCTTCTCTTGCTGATACGCCCATTGTCTTCTTGCACTGTCTTTTCCTTCTTTCTCTAACAAATGTGCCTTTCTCCACCTACGACTGTCTTGGTAAATTCTTTTACCCCTGTGCCACCAACCCACATCGTTGTTGCTCCCCCGCCACAGAAGATGATTAGACTGAAGATCACGATTCCAAGAAGAGACAGTCCAGTCAGTTAATTAAGCTGACAACATAGCGCTGCTTACCGATTACCGAGCACTGCCCCGGCCCTGAATTCTTTACCACACAGTCCTGTGGAACAGTCATTATCATGCCCATTTGAAAGCTGGGAGGCTGCAGAGAGACAACTGGAATAACTTGCCTGATGACACCATTGTTCAAAGACAAAGCCCGGAGACCAAGCCAGCTAACCCGACTGCGAAGCTGGGGCTCTTGACCATCGTACTCTTTTATGAACAATTCTTTCAGAGAGCTTGTGTGGTAGAGAGCACTCTTTCCCCTTTACAAGCGAGGGGACAGACTCAGAGAGGTTAGGGATGTTCCCGAGGTCATGGCACGGGGTTCCACCCAGTGCTGCCGGACAGCAGAGTTCCGTCCCCTGACCTGTCCTGGGGCTGCCCAAGCTCTCATCAGAAGGGCACCAGTATCCCCAAGAAGCAGGTGTGAAGGATTGCTGGAAGACAGGCGAAGCCTACCACGCCTCTCTCTGGAGACCTTCAGACTCCTGTGTATGTGACACAGAGCGGGACCACCCACCTTAAAGGCAGAACGTGAAATAATTTTACCTTACGTCTTACCTCTTTAATTTGATTTGATGACAACTCTAATTTTTTTAAAGATGAATTGGCGAGGAAATCAAGTTCTTCGCTTTTTAGCGCTTGAATTTTATTGTTTGATAACAGGAGCTCTTGGAGATTTTCCAGCTGAACCTGAGTTCCTAATTTTGTAGACGACAAACCATTATGAGACAGGTCTAATGTGATTAAATTCTGATGGGAAAAATAATATGCATATGTTAGACTCTTGCTGTCAAAAACAGTTCTTTTAAGTGTAAGCACATCTTTAAAATATTTCAACAGCAAGATCTCACCTTTCTATTTTTCTGTAGAATAGTAACTGTGAGCATAATCAATAATCTGTGTCCTGATTAATAATCTTTGCTATGTTATAATCTTTGTGATGGTTACCCCTGCAAGCATTGTAGGATTTTATTTCTTACTTCAAGAATCATTTTATTTTTCTTACCAAAATAAAAAGGATTTAAACTTATTTATGATATGAGGAACATTGCAAATTTATGAACTTATTTATCATAACCATTTACTTATGATGCCAGGAATTTTCACATGACTTATCAAACATACAGTGTCATTCATTAATCTTGAAAATAAGCATCAGAATTTTTTCTTAAAAAACATGAGTAGAATTTTGCCATCTATGAAATTTTAAATAGATGTTGATATTGAGATTCATAGTTGCATGTACTTTGGCTCATGACTAGTACAGAATATTAACTTTTGTTTGCTTCTCCAGTATTGTGGCATGTTTTATCACCCTCTGCTTCTTTTGAATATGTTCGCTTCAAATTCAGGCAAAAGGTAAGGAAAAGCTGATACCAGTTAAGGCAAAACCTAATGTAATCTCTATGAACGAAAGCAGTTTTTTCATTTAAGTCTTTAAAAAATAACATTTTGCAATGATTTCTCTAGCCAGATTTTGAGGCCTTTGTAGTCAAAGGTATTTCATCCACATTAGGCTCTGAGAAGACCCAAGAAAAGATTTAAAATAGCTAGGGAGCAAATCACTTTCTGTTTCACAGCATGTTTACATTTGTACATAACTCTTGGCATCTGGGGAAGAACAATGCTCAATTTTTTATAAGGCCATAAAATGAAGTAACTTGAAAATCACTTTGGCTAAAGAAAAGCACTTAATAATTGCCTCAGATTTAGAAACAATAGCATGCATTTTTTTCTGGTGCTCTGAAGCATTGTAGGGTGAATATGGTTAACTACAATTTGTCGTATATTTTTTAAAAGCTAGAAGAGAGCATTCTGAATGTTCACGACATAAATGAGAAACATTTGAAATGATAATTACCCCGATTAAATCATTGCACGTCGTATACACATATTGAAAGATTATTCTGTATCCCATAAATATATGCAATTATTACATGTCAACTAAAAAGCAAAGGAAAAAACAAACTAAAATTCAAGCAAAGTGCTGAAAAAAAAAAAAAGCTGTAGTCAATGGAAAAGTGACACCACCATTGAAAAAGTCACTGAAACAGCCATCGAGGCGATTTCTTAAACCAGGAGTAGGTAAGTTTTAGTTGAACAATTCACTTTATCATTGTATCAATTTGTTAATTTTATTTAAGTGAGAATTTGGACTCAACACTTTTTCATGACTTCACATGCTAAATCAGCAGCTTTGACAGTTTATTTTCCATGTTCTTACGGGATATTCTGATTCTTCTCCGTTCATGACTTCTACCTCTTGCATCTAAGTTCTATTTCTCATGGGAGAAAGTGAGAGAGGCAAACATTTAAAATTAAGAATGAAACTGATTTAAGAGTATATTTTCTCTTTTGGAAGCGTTTTCTATCATAATGGCAGTATTTGTATTAACTTGGATTAGATCAGATTTCTTCCTCTTTCTTGATATTTAGATAGTAAGTCTAAGGATGGATAAGTGACTTAAAAACATTAGTAACAATAAACATTCTCATCTTACCTTCTGGTTTTTAAAGGGATCATTTTTAATTTTCTGGATTGAGTTGGACATGAGATGGAGTTCAGTCAAATTCGTGCAGAAGACAAAAGTTTTATCGGAAAGTTGAGACAGCTCATTGTGCTGGAGGTTCCAGACTTTTAACATGGGAAGTTTTTGGCACAATTCTGACTCCAGTTTTGAGATGGTGTTAAATCCTACATCCAGGATAGTTAGTTGGCTATACCTTGTAAAATTGGCAGCTGGTAATCTTCTGAGTTGATTATGGGTAAGGTTCAACACTGTTATGTTTGTGGGGAGGTCATCGGGTACCTGAGTCAACTTCAGATGGCTGCAGTCAGCAACTTCATGGCTAACAGTGCACTTGTTGGTGGACGATGCACACAGCATCCCAAAGGGCAAAAGTCCCCCCCAAAAGTAGATGTAAGGCAAAGTCTGTCTCATGATTCTGCTGCATAAAAGAAAGATTAAGAAGTATGAGCAGCATTAATAGCACATGGCTTTCAAACGCATTGGTATGTTTCTTGGAAAATATATCAGCAAAATTGACTATGTATGATATTATTACTCTACTCTTATGCCATACAAGTACATATTATACAAGTAATACATCAAATGGAAACATTTCAAACAGTGCAGAAAGGAGAAAAAGTAAAACATGCAAACTTCCTTCCCATCCTTCACCTCCATCCCAGCTGCAGGGCGATGTCTCTCTTTTGATAGGTTCTGTCTGTAATTCTCACGGTCACCTCCGTAACTTCATACTCTTGCCCTTCTATTTCTTCACTTACTAATTTCAATATAAATATAAGGAATTTAATTATATTTTCCCTCATTCTTTTTACAACTTTTCTCTAGTTATTATTATTTTTTTTTTTTCCGAGATGGAGTCTTCCTCTCTCTCCAGGCTGGAGTGCAGCCGCATGATATTGGCTCACTGCAACCTCCACCTCCTGGGTTCAGATGATGCTCCTGCCTCAGCCTCCTGAGTAGCTGGGACTACAGGCGCGTGCCACCATGCCCGGGTAATTTTTTATTTTCCATAGAGACGGGGTTTCAGCATATTGGCCAGGATGGTCTTGATCTCTTGGCCTCATGATCCGCCTGCGTCAGCCTCCCAAAGTGCTGGGATTACAGGCATGAGCCATGGCGCCCAGCCAGTTAATTTTTATTTTATGTAAAATAAATAAATACATTTTCTCCACACTTCTTCCTTTCTTATGTTTCCTAAAACTGTCAATTTTAACATTGCTTGACATTGTCAAGATGTGAAATGTTAGCATTTTATCCTGAAGCTAGGATTAAGTATGAGGTTGTTGGCCTACGTGAATCCAGAGAATCTAAAGTCAGTAAATATCATTTACAATTTCAAAAATGGTTTGTATGTATTTATTTAATTTTAGACAGAGTCTCACTCTGTTGCCTGGGCTAGACTACGGTGGTGCTATCATGGCTCACAGCAGCCTCCAACTCCTGGGCTCAAGGGCTCCTCCCACCTCAGCCTCCCAAGTAGCTGGGACTACAGGCATGCACCACCACACCCAGCCAATCCTTTATCATTGTTAAAATTTTATGCAGAGATAGGGTCTCGCTCTGTTGCTCAGGCTGGTCTCAAACTTTTGACATCAAGTGATCCTCCAACCTTGGCCTCCTAAAAAGCTGGGATTACAGGCATGAACCAATGCGTCAAGCCTCAATCACAGTTTTACAACCGTATAAATAAATATTCGCTGCAGATGATAATGGAACTGAAAAATTCTTATCACCTACCGACGTAGCCGTCCTGTTATAGCACAATGCATCCCTAATGTTTGTAGTGGTGCTGCTAAAAACCAACCTACTGCACTACTGGTTATATAAAATATGGCACATACAATTATGTGCAGTACATAATAGTGGATAATGTAATAAATGAATGTTACTGATTTATGTGTCTACTATACTATACTTTTTATTATTATTTTAGAGTGTACTCCTTCTACCTATTTTTTTTTTTAATGTTAACTGTAAAACAGCCTCAGGCAGGTCCTTTGGGAGGATTCCAGAAGAAGGCACTGTTGTCACAAGACATGACAGGTCCGTGCATGTTGTGGCCCCTGAGGGCCTTCCCGTGGGACGCGACGTGGCAGAGGGCAGAGACGCGCTGATGACCCTGACTCTGAGCAGACACAGGCTAATGTGTCTGTTTGTGTCTTCATTTTCAACAAAAAGGTTTAAAAAATGAAAAGAAAAAGATTAAAAATAGAAAAAAACATAAAATAAGAATATAAAGAAAGAAAATATTTTTGTATAGGTATACAATGTGTTTGTTTTAAACCAAGCATTATTACAAGAGTCAAAAAGGTTTTAAAAATTAAAACATGTATAAAGTAAAATAGTCATAGTAAGTTAATTACTGAAAAAAGCAACATTTTTAACTAGGTTTAGTGTAACCTAAGCGTGCAGTGTTTGTGAAGCCTGCCGTGGTGCACAGTAATGCCCTGGCCTTCAGTTACTGAGCTTTCAGTGACTCACTCACCCAGAGCAACGTCCAGTCCTGCAAGCTCCATGCATGGTAAGTGCCCTATGCAAGTGCCATTTGTGATCTATTTTTGTGTGTGTGACAGAGTCTCGCTCTGTCACCCAGGCTGGAGTGCAGTGGCGTGATCTCGGCTCACCACAACCTCCACCTCCCGGGTTCAACTAATTCTCCTGCCTCAGCCTCCTGAGTGCCTGAGATCAGTGGCATGCGACGCCAGGTCCAGCTAATTTTTTTTTTAGTAGAGATGGGGTTTCACCATGTTGGCAGGCTGGTCTCGAACTCCTGACCTTGTGATCCATCTGCCTCGGCCTCCCAAAGTGCTGGGATTAAGGCATGAGCCGCTGTTCCCTGCCCATTTGTAAACTTGTATACCACATTTTCACTTACCTTTTCTATGTTTAGCTACACAAGTGCTTCCCGTTGTGTTACAACTGTGTTCAGTGCAGTCGCGTGCTGGCTGTGTGGGTTTGCAGCCTGGGCACCGCAGGCTGTACTACCTGGTTTTGTGTAAGCACTCCCTATGAGGTTCCCACAAGGACAAAGTCCCTTAACAATGCATATCCCCATAGGACACGTGACTGTGTCCTGTGTCTTTGGGGTAAATAACTAGGACTGGAATGGCTGGGCCATTTAGTTTTATGAGAAACTGCCAGATCGTTTGGGAAAGTGTTGCACCCCCAACTTCCCTGACAACATTTGGTGCCTATTTTTATTTATTTTTAATCATTCTGGTGAGTTTGTAGTGATAGCTAATTACAGTTTTAATTTGCGTTTCCCTGCTAACGATATTCAATAATTTTCATATGTTTATTGTTTGTTTTTATATATCTTTCCTTATATATTCAAATATTTTACTCATTTATTAGATTGCTTCCTTTTTATTACAGTGTTGTAGGAATTTTTTATGTATCTGAGTATCAGTCCTTTGTCAGATTCCTATTTTGTAAATATTTGTTCCCAGTGTGTGAGTTGCCTATTTATTTCCTTAATGGTGCCTTCTTAGTTATGATGAAGTCTAGTTTATTATTTTCTCTTAAATTTTTATTGTTTCTTGTCTAAGAAACTTTTTCGACTCCCATTACTCAGATACTCTCCTCTGAAAAAAGCTTTATGATTTTAGTTTTCATATTTAGGTCTGTGATCTCTCCGAAATGAATTATCGTGTGTGTATGTGTGAAGTAGGAGTCACGGTTCTTTTGTGTGTGCGTAACCAGTCAATCAGACCATTTTTTAAAGCGATATTCTTTCCCTCACTGGGTTGTTCTGTGCTTTCCTTAGAAACTGAGTGAATGTTTTAAGTGAGGGTCTATTTCTGGGCTGTCTACTCCCTTCCACTGAAATATTTGTCAGTTCTCAGGCCAACACCACACTGTTCCGATTACTTTAGCTTTATAACAAGTCTTGACGTTCAAGGTGCAAACCCTGACACCTTGCTCTTCTTCTAGATTGCTTTTTCTGTGCCGTGGTTGATGGAAGTTATCCAATGTTGTGTATTATTGATGATTGATTACTGCTCCTCCCTAGAGTGCAAAGCTGTAGAAGCAGAGGACATAGTTCTTATTCCGCACTGTGTTGTCTTGACCAGAACACTTGGAGCAGCGCCGGCTCTGAATAGATAAATCTATGTTGAGTACATAGCTGATATGGTTCCACTCTGTGTCTCCACCCAAATCTCGTGTTGAATTGTAATTCCCAGTGTTGGAGGTGGGGGCTGGTGGGAGGGGACTGGATCACGGGGCGGAGTTCTCACGAATGATTTAGCACCGTCCCCTGGGTGCTGTTCTCCTGACATGAGCGAGTGAATTCTTATAATCATTTTTTTTTAAGTGTGTGGTGGCGGGCGGGGTGGCTGACGCCTGTAACCCCAGCACTTTGGGAAGCCAAGGCAGGAGAATCACCTGAGGTCAGGAGTTCGAGACCAGCCTGGCCAACATGGCATAACCCCGTCTCTACTAAAATACAAAATTAGCCTGGCATGCCGACAGGCACCTGTAATCCCAGCTACTCAGAAGGTTGAGGCAGGAGAATCGCTTGAACTAGGGAGGCAGAGGTTGCAGTGAGCCGAGATCATACCACTGCGCTCCAGCCTGGATGACAAGAACGAAACTCCGTCTCAAAATAAATAATTAAGTAATTTAAAAAAATAAAGAAATAAAAGCGTGTGGCAGCTTCCCCTTCCCTCGTCCTCCGGCTGTGGCCAGCTCTGCCTTCTGTTATGGGTAAGAGCTACCTGAGGCTGGCCCAGAAACATGCCGCCATGCTGCCCATGCAGCCTGCCGAAGCATCAGCCAATTACACCTCTTTTCTTTATAAATGACCAGCCTCAGGTATTTCTGTATCGCAAGGTGAGACTGCACTCATACAACAGTGTTCCCTGGGCTCCAATCAGCTCAGGAAAGCCACTCCTATCTCCGCACACGGTCACACCGGATTTTGGTGGGATGTGTTCCCAAGGTGATACTCTCTGGCGTGACCAACAACCTAATTTTAGATATTTTAAAAAATCAAACACAGCCACAAAGTACAGAGATGAAGCCATGGGAATGACGTCTAAACAGATATTCCGTAAGATCTCAAAGTCATGAGGCAGATTATTCCCGATAAGTTTCAGATAATAAAATCATCTCAGGTGATTAATCCTGGGAAAACAAAACTAATGTGAGTATTTAGAACTGTTCCAAAAACAGTGATTTTACTAATATTCTAATTTAGTTCTCAGAAAAAAAAACCCAGGCTTCCATAAACTAATATTCCCATCTCATGGCCTTTACAACACCGGCACTAACCATTGTAAAGTTGTGCACAGCTTTTAGGGTTTTTTTTTTTTTTTTTTTTTTTTTTTTTGAGACAGAGTCTCACTCTGTTGCCCAGGCTGGAGTACAGTGCCTCAATCTCCGCTCACTGCAACCTCCACCTCCTGGGTTCTAAGTAATTTTCCTGCCTCAGCCTCCTGAGTAGCTGGGACTACAGGCGCCTGCCACCACACCTGGCTAATTTTTGTGTTTTTAGCAGAGACGGGGTTTCACCACGTTGGCCAGGCTGGTCTCTAGCCCTGACCTTGTGATCTGCCCATCTCGGCCTCCCAGAGTGCTGGGATTACAGGTGTGAGTCACCCAGCGTGCCCGGCCGCTGTGCACATCCTTTATATCGACAGGCCACGAGGAACGCCACAGCCAGGCCAGCAAGGATGCAGGTTGCTGACTTGCCCAGGCGCATGAAGAATGCAGGGCTGGCAATGATCCTCCCAAGTGCCAAGGACCAGCTCCCCACCCGCCACCTCTCTGAGGGCCTCCCAGATCTCTCTTCCAGTACCATAAGGGCTTACTACCTCCACTTACCAACTCACAGGTAAAGTCCCTACGACACATTCTCCTTGCTTAGGTGGGATGTACCCCTCAGGTAGGGCTCCAGCTAGAGGTCACAATTGCTGAGAAGGACTAATCCATTACAAAGAATATCCCTGAACCACTGAAGGACTTTCTCCCTCTGAAGACATTTCATCAGTGGGCAAAACTTGCCAAATGCCAGGCAGGAGGTGTGAAAGGGAAACAAACATGGAGGCGAACACGACATGTCAGAATTGCAACCGTGCACACAAAAATCCTAAAACCTTCATTTCCAGAGAAAAGAAATCTCAATTAAAAAAACTCTTTTTATCGGTCACTTGAACCACTAGAAAACAACAGAGATAAGCTTTCCAAACATTTAGAGGAAATTATTTTGAATTTACAATTTCATATCCAGGCAAGGCATCATGGCTCATCCCCATAATCCCAGCACTTTGGAAGGTGTAGGTGGAAGGATACTTGAGGCCAGGAGTTCAAGACCAGCCTGGGCAACATAGTGAGTCCCCATATCTACAAAAAAATTTTTTTAATTAGCCAAGTGTGGTGGCACAAGCCTGTAGTTCCAGCTATTTGGAAGGCTGAGGCAGGAGGATCACTTGAGCTCAGGAGGCTGAGGCTGCAATGAATCAGGATTACACCACTGTACTCCAGCCTGGGCAACAAAGCAAGACCCTATCTCTTAAAAACAAGAAAATTACCTTTGGCCAGCCACAGTGGCTCATGCCTGGAATCCCATCACTTTAGGAAGCTGAGGCTGGAGGATCCCGTGAGCCCTGGAGTTTGAGATCAGCCTGGGCAACATGGGGAAACCCCATCTCTACCAAATTTTTTTTTTAATTAGCTGGGCAAAGTGGTTCACACCTGTGGCCTCAGTTACTCGAGATACTGAGGTATGAGAATTGCTTGATCCAGGGAGGTCAAGGCTGCAGTGAACCATGATCATGCCACTGTACTTTAGCCTGGCAACAAAGTGACACCTTGTCTCTAAATCAATAAATGAAATAATACAATACAATACAATAAAATTTCACATCCACCCAAATAACTAAAGAAAATGATACAAGTATTTTGAGATATACAAAAATTCAGTAAGTTTATAACCATACGATCTGTATGCAAAGGTTATTCTCAGACATGCTTCGAAAACAAAAATGCAGTTAAAAGACGAAATGAGGGTGAAGAAAAAGTTGCTGTTGAATGAGATCTAACAAATAAAGAAAATGAAAAATACATTTTAAAAAGACTCACTGGGCCGTGGAATTTTGGAAATATTTTGTGAGAGCACATGAAATTTACTTTTTTTTTTTTTTTTTTTGGTCCAAGTGAGAGACAATATTGCCTAATGGTGAGGACGTGGGGTCTGGAGACAGACTACCTGGAGTTAACTGCTATTCAGAGCTTGGTTTGCAAACTTTGCAATCTTTTTATTAGGTGAACACACAGGCACCCCACATGCAGACACATACTGGCACGTGATCGTCTGTAAACCTGGGAATCAATTTGCTGAAGCCCGACTCTGTTTTCACTCGAGTGCCCCACAGTTGCCTCGGCCGATTTCTGATCCTCCCATACACCTGAACATTGAACATCTCTCCACTTCTCCATTGCTTCCACTATCCTTCTAGGTGAAAGAAAGCATTTCCGGACTCCTAGGAACACCTGAATGTTCTCTCCTGTCCACGACATTGTCATACAACGCTAGCTCCCCTCCAGCCAATCAAACCAAGAAAAGGGAGCACGCTCTTGTCACCTCTTGGAGTTTTGTTTCTTTAAGGCAAAGATGTGATTTTTTTCTTTTTTTAAAGGCTGTTGCAAAATGATTTCCATAGCTTCCCTAATGTGTTTTTCCAGGTACAAAATGCTGCAGAGGAAAAAAAATTAAATACTGCATAAACATTTTATCATATTAACTAGACATTGATGCTGTTACTTGTATGCTGAGTTATACCTCTGCCACACTCATTTCATCTCCCTTTTCTTCCGCTTCCCTTCCTGAATAATTCTGACTAGATTTCAAGCACCAGATCAAAGAAAGACCAAAGAAGGCTGAAAGCACACGCATTCTAGTAACTCTGCCCAGCAAGAGAGACCCTGTGCAGTAAGAATGTGAAATGTACACCTTTACTCACTTTGATGACTGCAGACAATTCCTTTTTTCTTTAGTCCAAATCCAGACATTTCATCAGGGAAGCGTGTGGCAAGTAGACTGCACTCTCGAAAGTGAAAGTGAAGCTTCAGAAAGAATGCTTTTATATTTGGTGCATTCCAAGGAGGACAGGGGAAGGAAACAAAAACAGTCTCCGGCAACCTCAGGCAGCTGTTCCAGACGGCTTCTTAAAAACGTCTTGTTTTTTATTTTATTTTAACTGTTTTTAAGCTGAGATCCTTGGATTTCATTGAAAGGGTCACAGATTTAGCAACAGCTATTGAAAGTGGGGACCTCATCATTGATGTGGGCGGGGAATCCCTCAATATTCTGCTAGACTCATGCGAAGCCGTCAGAATTGAGTAGTGAATGGTCACAAGGACAGGAAAAAAAAAATCCTTAATCAAAGCTAAAGTACTTTCACATCTTTTGTCTGGCTTTTACCTCTTTGCAACGCTGTGAAATAAGCCCAGCAGAAATTAACATCCTCATCCAAGGAGAAACTGAGTTTCAAGGCAGAGAAAGCCAATCATGGCAAAGCCGAGAGCCAGCCCACTCCTGCTGGGCACTTTTCCACGGTGAGACGTGTTAGGGAACAAATTGGTATGCCCAGAAAAGTCCAGATTAACTAAGCATTTTGTTTTTCAATTCACTTTAATGACTCCAATTAGTTAAGGGAATGTGCTTGTTAAGAAATGAACTCACATTTTTTCATTACAGATATACTATATCATAACCATATTGTTAAATAGGAACATATCACAGTTGGAAGAAACTGTAGACCACCTAATCTCACTTCCTTGTTGGAGAAATTAGGAAAACAAAACCTAGGGAGGTGAGTGATTTGCCTAAGGACGTGCCACAAGCCACCATATGCTTCTATCACACAAAGTAGTAAAACAGCTGGGGTGGCTGAGACGTGGCATTAGCTTGAACTGACTGCAGAACTGATGGCAAGAAATAAGCACCACAGGGCCGGGCGCGGTGGCTCAAGCCTGTAATCCCAGCACTTTGGGAGGCTGAGGCGGGTGGATCACGAGGTCAAGAGATCGAGACCATCCTGGTCAACATGGTGAAACCCCGTCTCTACTAAAAATACAAAAAATTAGCTGGGCATGGTGGCATGTGCCTGTAATCCCAGCTATTCGGGAGGCTGAGGCAGGAGAATTGCCTGAACTCAGGAGGCGGAGGTTGCGGTGAGCCGAGATCGTGCCATTGCACTCCAGCCTGGGTAACAAGAGTGAAACTCCGTCAAAAAAAAAAAAAAAAAAAAGGAAAAGAAAAAAAGAAATAAGCACCACAGTCAAAGTGCCCTCTCCTGGACTCCAGCCTTAGCTAGACCGTCTTATACTTACTGGGCTCATGGTTCCATGTCTCTGATTTTCATCGGTGACATCTGTAACGTAATACCATACGAAAACAGATGTCCTGAGTAAGTGACTGACCCTCACACCTATCCATTGGGATGTGCGGGCAAACGTCACTGACAGCAAAGATTTCTTCTCTGTGAGCACCTTGAAGTCAGGTGAGGTTGATTCTTTGTATTATAACTCCCCAGACACGCTCCGAGGAGGACTGTTCCTTTGGCCTTCGATGAAACAGACTCCTCTTCAGAATTCAAACCTTTGCACAGTCTTCTCCCACGCCGACTCTGGGCTTGACCATTTGACTAGCTGTGGCCAGCCGGATACTAGCAAGCATGCAGCGAGGTCTCATTACCAAGCACAATTACCAAGGCTTGAGAGGCAAGCAAATAAGTGATTGTTGTTGTTTTAAATTAAAAAAAAAAAAAAAAGCTGCAGTGGTGTCATATGCATTACTAGCGAAATAAAACACATCGTCTCAACAATCCTTCATACGTATCTCTTATGCCTTATGACTCCTTATACAGATTAAATTTCCCACGACGTTGGTTGACTAATGAATGGCTTTCAATAAATAAATTTTGATGGTCTCCTAATGCAACAGTTTGAGCTTAGTACCAGTTCACATTCAAACAGTATTAGTCCTCGATTCTTGCTAGTTTCTAAGTAGAACACAGATTGTTTGCTCTCCACTGTATATTTCTTAACTATGCATTAACTTATTTAGCTATGATGGTGGTTGAAGCCACAATGAAAAACCTCATTTTTCCCTTTTTAAAAGAATTAAGGCTGGGTGCAGTGGATCATCCCAGTAATCCCAACACCTTGGGAGGCTGAGGCAGGCAGATTGCTGGAG